ATATATATATATATATAATAAAAATATGCTCAATGCCAAATTGTGCTTTATAGCCAATATTTCTAGTGAATTTTAGTATATTTTCTGCAATTAAAGGAGAAATCTCATATCCTAGAATCTTACTGATCTGATTTTTTTTTCCTCCCTATTGGAAGATTTCTTGTTCTCTTCAAGGTCTAACGGTTTGGGTCCAAGATACTTCATATTTATGCAGCCGGGCTGGACAGGTCCTCCCTGTCAGTATTCAGATGAATGGTTGGATTCATGAGGGAAACCTGCTCTGTCCATCATGCTGGGATTTCTGTGAGCAGTGTCCTCCAGAGACAGATCCCCCAGTGGCTAACCTGACTCGAGCTCTTCCACTGGGTGAGTACTCTTTGTGGTTGGAACTAAGAGGGAAAGTAATGAGTAACACAGTGTTGAAATTACCTTTATAAGAGCCTGGAGCAAGTTGAGTTGTTTCTCTCCTGGTTGCAGCTTGTAGCGAAATCCTTCTTCCTGCCATTATAGAACTCTAAAGTAGTAAGGAGACAGTTCTTTAGAGCTAGAAGGAGGATGGAAAAATCTGACTTGAGAAGAATGCCTTCCTCATTATCAATTGTTCATACTGAGGCTCACAACCCATCACTAAGATTATAAGAACAGAATTCATGAATTCTCAATTAAAATTGTGGCTTAAATGAACTATGAGTAAATCTATGGCAGCACATAGATTTAAAAATGAAACTGCACTCACAACCCTTTGTCTCTTCTGTGCTGTGGTTGAAAATACAGGGCTACATTCAGTTTACACGTGAAAGTTTTTCCACCTCTAGGATTAACTTCCTTTCTTTTCCAAGTCCTAGGGGCTGTAGCAGAGGGTGAGTTTGGGGAGATTAGTACTTACGTTGAGGGTCTTCAAGACCACCTCTAGTTCTGTTGGCTCAATAGAAGGACTCACAGGACTTGTCATACTTAAGGCTTAGCCTTGTTCAAGCAAAAGGATGTAAAACAAAATTAGCAAAGGGAAAATGTGCATAGGATGAAGTCCAGAAGACAGCAGTTCCAAGACAGTAGCTAAAGACTGTCTTTGCAGACAGAATTACTAAGCCTGCCAGGTTCAAATTCTTTTTTTCCACAGTATTTTAGTTAGCTGAATTTTCTGCAGTTCTAATAGTAATCACACAATTAATTATTTGAAATTCTATAAAGCCTTACACCTTTTGATGTAATATACAGTAAATATAGTGATAAACTGCTCAATTAACTTTTGATGTGGAGATGATTGGAAGACTTAGATTTCTTACAGTTGTTATTAAATTACGTTGGCTAAAATCCATAAATAGATAGTTCTGATGAGTTCTCGTTCTCAGACCTAATCCCAGATTTAATTGTAAGAAACTATTACCATCTCATTGTCAAAGAAACAAGCAGGGATTCAGACCACTAGCCTTTGAGTTGAAATAAAGGGAGCATTAACTCCAGCTGGCTAGGGGTCAAATTCTTTGGAATCCAGGAGAAGAATATGTAGGAATGAGGAGAAAGCCAGACCCAGTCAAGGGTCTTTGAAAAGTTCCCACCTAGGAGCATGACAAAGACTAGGGAGTCTGTTGAAAAGAGGTGGACAACACTTGATCATGGCACTTTACACTCTACTCCAACCAGCTGGCACTTTACACTCTACTTTTTATCCTGCTTCCCTCTTTTTCAGTCCTTTTTCTGAGGCCTTTGTGTTGTGGTCTTATTTCTTTTCATGTTAACTTGCCAGTTCAATAGGAGGCAGGCTCAAAAACATTGTAAACTTCAAATTACTAACACTGATATTGAAAAATGTGCAAAAATATTATAAGAATGGATAATTTTAAGCATTACTTTTATAGTTTGTAAGAATCACTGTTGAAATTCTAGAATAACACATCCTCCCATATTTGCTAATATGTGTGAATAGAGCACATACAGAGCTTTAACTGAACATGTTAAACTATGAACTAAGGACCTGAACAGACTTTACATATGCTATTTCTTTTAGGTAGATTGTTTCTCTTTAATACAGTTTTTGTTGACCAACAAATTGTAAAAATGTTGACACTTGAAATGTACTTGTATGAATAATATTAATAATTATTAAACAGTCATCCCTAATCTGTCTTCTGAATTAAAGTATTTTTTAAGTGTGACTTTAAAACATTAAAACTGCTGATATTTTGGAGGAAGTGTAATGATATTTCTCTCCCCAAATTCTTCTGATTTTTGTCATTGTTGTTGTTGTTTTTCTCAATGATTTGTTCACATAGCTTCCTTACAGTTGCAGTGTCTTTTAAGAATGTTAAACTTGGGGTTGTGGCTCAGTGGTAGAGCACTTGCCTAGCAAGTGTAAGGCACTGGGTTCAATTCTTAGCACCACATATAAGTAAATAAATGAAATAAAGGTCCATCAACAACTAAAAAAAAAGAATGTTAAACTTATCTTCTTTTCTCCTTCCTTTTCCATACTCATTACTTCTAAATGCTTGAAGCAATTAAATAATTGTTCTGTATTGCTCAAGACAGTTTCCATTATTGATTATGAAATCAGGAGATAAAGACCTGTGTTATAAGTAACTCCAGCCAACTCCACACTACCTGATGCAGTAGGCCAGAAATTTTTCTAACAGAACATTTGTGTTAACGGAAATATTCTGTAATTCACATTGTCCAATTCAATAATATAATAGTCATTGGCCACAAGTGACTATTGAACATGTGCAATGTGGATACTATGACCAGAACTAAATATTTATTTATTTGTTTGTTTGTTTATTGTTCAGTGCTGGGGACTGAACCCAAAGCCTCATGCATGCCGGGCAAGTCCTCTACCATTGAACTGTACAACCAAGCTCTAAGATTTTAATTTAACTTTAATAGCACATATAAGTACTGGCTACTACTATAGTGGACATTTACAGCTCTAGGTCAGAGGTTCTCAAACTTTAGCATGCATCAGAACCATGTTAAAACACGAAGAATTTGCATTTTTAATAAGGTCCTAGGTGATGCTGATATTTGTCTAGGGACCATACTTTGAGAAGCACTATTTTCTATTAAGTGGACTTCTCAAAGTATGGATTTGTATACAATTACATTTATAACAATTACATGGTGATTCCATTGGGAAAGAATGGAAATTTCCCATAGGTTGCCTACGTAACATGCCATGAGACAATTTTTTAAATGATACTCAACACTAAAATAGATGCTCAAAGAGTGGTCTCATGCCTTGATAATTATCATTCTGTTCATCTGTAACTGAAGATCACTTCTATTTTTGTTACCTTTTAAGCAATTTAGACTTGAACTTAGTGGTTCTTTGAAGACCCATCTGTAATTTTTTCCACTGCCCATCTCTTGACTTGAGTCAAGATTTACCTACAAGAGAACTTTTTTAAAAAACTGATGCTTGACTCACAGTTATCCTATCAGCCCACAATTCTTCAAGTTCTGTAATTCACACTTCTTTTATCTCTACTTGAATTGTGGACATTCTGATGACAACTTCAAAATTCCCATATAAGATCTTTATTGTTCAAAATATAAAAATAAAAACTCATCATAAATTAAGGTTATGTTGGCCTTGTCTCAACTGCAATAAAAATATTTTCATTATGAGAATTATTTAGGGAAGCATTTTAGCCTTGAGAACAGCTCATGAATAATTTAAAATATATTCCTAGTGCCCAAAGCCCATCATCTGCTTTTTCCAAATCAAACCTTGCATGATATGGATGAATGGGGAGATTTCTAGAAATTGGGGTAGGCCTCATGTCTCCCCTCCTGTAATTATTAACAGTGCTGTCTTCTATTCTTGAACTGTACTGGTTTGGAATAATAAATTATATGGTCACCCTACTTATAAGGGACAAGTAAGGATAAAAGAAAAGACTTCTTTCTCAGCACAGCGACATATCTCTGTAATCCCAACAACTCAGAAGGCTAAGGCAAGAGGATTGCAAGTTCAAGGTCAGCCTTGGCAACTTGAGAACTGTCTTAAAAATAAAAAGGGTTGAGGAGGTAGCTCAGTGATAGAGCACTCCTGGATTCAATCCCCAGTACTAAAAAAAAAAAAAAAAGGAGAGAAAGTTCTTCATCCATCACAGAATAACCAAGTTCACATACCATCTTTACCTTTGTTGGTTACCACCCTAAGACACTTCTTTCTTTTCATGGGTGCCATTTTATTATTACCTTGACTTGGTAGTTATCTTTTCTTCCTTTGTGTGTATATTCTATTCTTTTATAATATTAAAAAACAATAACTGTGTGTTGGGGTTTCAGGAAGTCACTCTTTTTAAAATTTTTTGTTTATTTTATTAGTACTAGGAATTGAACCCAGGAGCATTTAACCACTGAACCACATTCCCAGAACTTTTTATTTTTTATTTTGAGACAGGGTAATGCTAAGTTGCTCAGGGACTCACTAAGTTCTGAAGCTAACTTTGAACTTGCAGTCCTCCTGCCTCAGCCTCCTGAACTGCTGGAATTTCAGGTGTGCACCACCATTCCTGGCCAGGAAGTCACTCTATTCTGCTAAGATGATTCTTACTCACCTCTACGCATCTGTCAATATTTAATTGGTATAATTTAATCACAAAAATGGTTATGGAAAGTCAACTTCTTGTTTTCAACTCTAGATCTCTGTTCCTGCTCCTCCAGCCTGGTGGTCACCCTCTGGCTTCTGCTAGGCAATCTGTTTCCTTTGCTGGCTGGATTTCTTCTCTGTGTATGGCACTAGGAATGGAAAAGTGAAATTTGAAGAAAAGTGAATTCTCAACTCCTTTATCTCATATTCCTGTGAACAAAGCACAAAATCTGGGCAAGCGTGAACCTGTGCAATGGTAGAAGTGGCATTCCTGACACAGGCTTGGGCCTGTTGACTACGATGGACCTTGAATCAAAACTTCACAGCAGTCGCTCCTTATCAACTACCCAGCCACCTCAAAGATTGGAGAAGGAGAAGGAATTACAAGTCACCACATCTTGTACTTCAAGATACATAATCTCCCTGAAGTTTTCTTTTGAAAACAGGATAATTGGTGAAATTCCCAGAGTGATTACATACCTCAGCATTTTCATTAATCTAAAATGATAAGCAAGTTCATCATGGACACCACAGTAACAAATAATAGCCAATTATTACAAAATTGTAAGTTGTGGATCTTGCCCTCAGAAGTATCAGTTGCCCTTTAATTTACAGAAAATAATGAATTAAAATTTCTATATCACTATTACACTTATTTTAAATTTGATGGCTGTACTTTTATTTGGGCTTAGTTTAGTTTGATTTGATTTTGGTTTCAAGACAAGGTCTCAGTATGTTGCCCAGGCTGGCTTTTAGCTGGCAATCTTCCTGCCTCAACTTCCCAAGTAGCTGGGATAGAGGCTTGTGCCATCATGCCCCACTTGTCCATAGTACATTTGTATCATTGTTCTCATTGTTTGTCCTGAAGAGTTTTAAACTGTTTTACTAAGTCTTGTGATTTCATTTCGCTTGCCTTTTTTGCCAGCTGTGTAGCAATCTACTACTGAACTGTTATCAGTGTATCGTTAACCCTGTCTACTCACCGATCTTCAGTGCTCAGCTTCCATTTTATTGTCCATTAACTTAATAATGACTCCAAAAAATGTGGAAGCAGAGAGAGTAAAACTACCCTGCAAAAACGTTGAAGATGTGCAACCAGAAGAAAAAATTGTTGTACATTTTTCAGGTATTATGACAACTGTAATCCAATGAAGCAAAACTATTTATTTTATCCCTTTTGAACAATGTAGATGAAAAGAAATTGTGTTATAAACATGTATGTGGTTATTTTTAGTGGACTAAAATTGTTCGGGAAGAATTTAGAATACCTGAAAAATTTTTTATGAATAAGATGAAAACTGTATCTTTTACCTCTGCTTTTGATAACTCTCTTACCACATAGATTTTGTGAAATAATTCTACTGTGGTACCAGAGCACCAACCCCATTTAGCGATTCCTCTTTGAAATTTCTTTAATGAGAGGCGATGCCCAGTTTTTCTCTCTAAAGCTAATAAGTTCTGTAGCATGAAAAATTCAACCCTTGAAGGAAGCTTGTTTAGAAATTGTGCTAAATGAGCAAAGCAGCATAACTACTGTTTTGGCAGTCCCACATAAAGGAAAGTTACTTTTTAAAATACATAAATCTAAAGTATATGTTTGCATGAGATATAAATTGGAGGTATTTGTGGTATTTGTCATTGTGAAAGCTGCCCCAAACATAGTTAATTTCAGTTTAAGAGAAAGAGTGGTCTGCTGGACAACACTCAGTATTATACATCCATTAAATTATGCAAGGTGAGAGAAAAGTAGAGTATATTTTTAAATAAATGTATAATTATCTAAACTTACATACCTATTATGATTATGTATCACCCCACAAAGTTGTATAAAGAACTTCACCAAAAAATCAAATGGATTAATAATATATTTGAGAATCACAGTGTTAGGTTTAACTATATTTTGACTGTTGTGCAGTAATGCCATTAGGTAGTATTGTTTCCAAGCATGGTGCTTTTTATACTTGAAATATATCTTTGCTTTATTTTTTGATATAATTATATTTGCACTGATGACTTTATGAAGAAAATATTATGGATGACATTTTTTGTATATATATTTATTAAGCTTGGAATCTGGTGGCCCAATGTTTTCTCTGCACAAACATGAAATGTGATGGAGTATGAGATTAAGAAATTGTGAGTTCCTGAAGGTAACTAACTGCATTGATGTTTCCCTTTCTCTTCAGTAAAGCTTAATCAAGGTTGTTTATAACTGATTCTGCATAGTGTACTTAGCAGGACTTAGAAGGACACTGAACCTGTAAGAAATTTTAAGAGACACATTTTAGTCTCTTAGAATATGACAATTTTGAAGCAAAAAACTTTTAAAATCTGAGACAATGCAGAAATATTAGTCTAAAATTCAGCTGTGAACTGAAGAATTTGAAATTGCATACATGCTGGTATTCTGTGGTGGTTAGGCCCTTCATGTTAGGAAAAACAAAACCAGTTCCCTCTGTCAGAGAGATGGAGTGGACTGCAGCTGGGGTAGAAGTTAAGTGGAGCAGGGAAGAAGAATGCAGAGCTGCTAATTTGGGGACAATGAACTAGAGTCCCCTCCCAATTCAAAAAAGGTCAAGTGCTTATAAAAATTGACTACCTCGGTTTTCAGTTCAAACTTAGATTCATTTTGATTGTTTTAAGGTCCCAGTTATCAAAAATATCATAAGAATTTGTCTCAGGTTTTGAAGACCAGAATTTACAGGAAGGAAATAAAAGCCATGTCAGTAGCCTTGAGCTGACAGCTTTAAAGAAACTGGCAAGCAGTTAGGTAGTCATAATGTAGTTCTCTCTGGTATTTTCTCAGAAAACATTCTTTTTCCTTGCTTTTTTCTTAAAATTGGCAAACCTTACCTTTTTCCTATAAGATATTTATTTTTGTTAAGACAAAATGGATATTCTAAAAATGTTAAAATATGGTTAACATAAGTTTTCAGTGTATTTTGGCTTAGTTTATCAATATTTAAAGTTGAAACCTAATTTTTCGATGTTTAAATAGTTTTAGGAAGATACATAAATAGATATTATCAGAGTATTCCATAAAATTTTATTGATGTGCTTTTCAGTGTGAGAAGACTTACTGTTTGAGGCCATCTAAAAAACAACTAGATGATTTCTCAGAATCCTTCCAGCTGTAATATTCTATGACTAATTCTCAGCCACATTGCTTGTCACCACTGGCTCTGATCCACCTCCTGGAGTGTGCAGCCTTCATGTTGTGCTCATCACAGAGTCTTTGCTCAATGCCTTACTGCTGTCCATGTCTTTGGACACCTGTTGGACAGAGAAGAATCTGTCTCTGAGGGCAGTTGAGTGACAATCCCCAAAGAAGGAGACGGACTTAAGTCCCAGCCCCACAGCCCTATTTCATAATGGACACTGGTCATTCCCGCCATGACCTTGCAGTCCAGGAGGGTGAACATATTTTGATAGTCTATAGTTTTCATTCTGAAGAGAGAACTTTCCTGAAAAGAAGAATTTTTTTTTAATGTATATTGGGTCGGGGGGGACGGGAGGTAGTGTTGAATTATTTTCTTTTATGTTTACACTTTTAATAAGTAAAATAGAAGATTTGAAAATTATTCTTTATTTATAGTAATGAACCTTAAGTGTAATATATTCCTTAGGAAAAAAAAAACAATTTTAATAAAAAATGGAAACTAATTTGTATCTTGTCTTATTACCATCAATTTTTTAAAACCTGAATGAGGAATAAAAACATAGTTATGCTCCTTTATTTGAAGAAGAGTTATTACAAAATAAAGTTCAGTTTTTACCTTAATTTGAGTAATATTGTCTTTACAGAATGGGGACAGATCTTATGCAAAGCTATAGGGACTAGCCCTCAAATAATTAAGCAGGAGAGAGCAGACCAAACCAATGCACAGAACAGTTTGTTCCATGCTGCAGGCCAGGAGTTTCATTACGGGACCACCTGGAGCACTAAAGTACCTCGTTTACATGGTGGCATCAGATAGACTGTGACTATCGTCATGGAGTTAGTTCTTCCTCATAACCTGAATGTAGTGAGAGAGAAAGTCCCCCAGGCGTGCCTTTCCAATGTACACACAGAACTATTCTGCCTGTGACACAGACTCAAGCATTTTGTGGAATTGATAGCTATGTGACCTAATTGTTGAACCTAGATCTTTATGGGAATTTCATAACCTATAGATTTTAGGAGTTTTAAATATTCCATATAAATAGCTAAAACTATATACAATTAACTATTTAATGCAGCTGAATAAATCCAGTGTTATTTGTTCGGCATATGGAAGATAAAGCTGTGTACATGTGTTACCTTGTTTACTTTAAGTTTTGTTGTAGACATAGAATATAGCTTCTTTAGATTGGTCTTTTGTTCATAATCTCTCCACTAGATTTTTTTGAAATGGGAGTTTATTTAAATCAAATCCCTCCTCTGCTCCCCAACCCCGCTAGGAATTAAATCCAGGGAGTAGCTACCACTGAGTTACACCCCAGACCTTTTTATTTTGTGTTTTGAGACAGGTTATCCCAAAAGTTGATAAGCCTGGCCTTAAACTTGTGGATCCTTCTGTCTCAACCTAAGTTGCTGGAATTACAGGTGTGTGCCACCACACCTAGCTCAGAAGTTAATTTTTTAAAGTTAAAAATAAATTGAACAGGCTGGGCATGGTGACACATGCTTATAATCTCAGTGACCCAGAAAGCTGAGACAGAAGGTTCACCGGATTGGACAGGGGAAAACGGGGAAGGGAGGGAGGGTTGGGATGAGAAAGACAGTGGAATGAATAGGACATAGCTTTCCTATGTTCATATGTAAATAATGACTACAGCATGTACAACCACAAGAATGGGAAGTTATACTCCATGTATGTATGATGTCAAAAATACATTCTACATCATATATAACTAAAAAGAGCAAATTAAAAAAAAAAAGCTGACGGGATCACCGGATACTAAAAAAAAAAAAAAAAAAAAAAAAAAAGGTGGGGAGTTCTGGGGATGTCGCTCAATGGTTCAATCCCCGGTTTAAAAAAAAAAAATCTTTCATTTCAGTGGTTTTTTTTTAATTTTATCTGTTTGTTTTCAGTTATCCTCTTTAGGAATTCCAGTTATGTATGATCTTTAGTTCCTGATTTTTATTTCATTGATATATATATATATATATACAACTAAATATATATATATATATATATTTAGTTGTAGATGGACACAATACCTTTATTGTATTTTTACGTGGTGCTGAGGATCATACCCAGTGCCTCACGCGGGCCAAGTGAGCATTCTATCACTAAGCCACAGTCCCAGCCCCTATTTCATTGTCTTTTTCTCATCTCTGTCTACTCTGTTCTATACGCTGTTTTCAACAGTATATTGTCCCTTATGCTTCTTTTGTTTTTGCTCTATTTTCTGCAGTTTTGCTCTCTGTATGGCATGTTTTTCCTGAGCCTACAACTGTCAACATCTTCAAGGCTGATGATTGGACACTGGAACTCTGGGTATCAGTGCAGCTGTCTCTAAGCATGTCAGTTTTCATAATTTTGTTTGCTAATAGCAACAGCAGCTAAAAGATGAGCCCTGTTTCAAATCTGCCGTCTAAATATTGACAGAACCTAATTACATTCTGAATCCTAACTTCAGGGGAGTCTCAGAAACACATACCCTCTACACACAGCAGGAAGGAGGAATGGATGTTGACTGTACTGACCCACAACATCTATCACAGTGTTCTGTGTTGTCAATCCTTTTTACAATCTTGTCACTTGTGAGCAGAAGTTTAAAATGATTCCTTGTATGATTTTTTGCCTTTGGTATTATACTCAGAAGTTTTCCTTACCCCATTATAATTTTTTTTTTTACTTTTAAAAGTTTAGCCTTTTTCTTTAGAAAATATTGAGCAGAAATAATAAAATAATAGTTTTACCACTCTTAAAAATATTATATATAGTGATAAAACTACTACTACTTCCTCTGTCTCCTCCACTTCCATCCCTCCAGAAGTAATCTGGAGGAATTGAGTTGGTACATACCTTTCAGACTTTTTTTTACCATTATATATACACATATAAATATAGAACAGACATTCATATTAAAAATAAAAGTAGAACTACCCTATACATACTATATATAGACATAGCTTGAAATTCCTACAAAGATGCTTAAGGTTCAACACATATTTCCAGATCAGTAAACTTATAGTTTATATGATTTCATGATACTCAGAAGATATAGCATTCCTTATTTAACTACCCCCTCACTAATGGGCATCTTGTTATTTCCAGTACAATTATGTCCTATATTTTATTGTGATTTCTTTAATTTTCACATTATTCTTTAATATAGCAGGAATTCATTTTGTTGTTTAGCCTGAGGAAGGATTCCAACTACATTTTTTCCAAGTAGTCATTCTAGTATTGTTTATTAAACCAATAGGAAAAGATTTTCCAAGGGCCAGGTAAGATATTCCCTGGAAAGAAAACAAAATGGCTTAGTGCCAAAAGAATTCAAATACAAAAATCCAAAACTCGTCCATCCCAGAAACTCCTCTATCCCAGGCTTACATATACCTTTCTGGTATTTCCTTCAAATTAAAGGGGGGGAAAAGCATATATTTCTTAGGTTAGACAAAGGTATTCATCCATTTTCAAGAAAACTGTTACATTCTCTCTTTAGAGACAGGATTTTTTCCCATTGTAGGCAGATTTTATTGTGAAATGAGATATGATATTCCTGGTTTTACTCTACCCAACATAGGGAAGTTTATGTTCCTTTCTTCCTTTCTTTCTTTTGTTTTTGTTTTTGTGGCACTGAGGATTAAACCCAGAGGCTGTCTACTATTCAGCCACATCCCCAGCCACTTACCATCTTCCACGCCTTTTTTTTTGAGACAGTCTCCCTATGTTGCCTAGGCTGATCTGAATTTGTGATCCTTCTGTCTCAGCCTCTAGTCACTGGAATTATAAGTGAGCACTACCACCTCCTGCAGGGAAAAAAGTATTCTAAATTTATTAAAGACAGTAGAATTTACAATCATGAAAAAATAT